CCGCGACATGATGTTCTATAGAAGTAAAGCGCAAGCGCTTACGAGATTACGCTGTGTGATCCGCGGTTTTCTATGCATGTGAATTGTTTTTAACTGTACTGACGGCATCGGACCTTGGACAGTGAATAAAATATGATTTTGCTGCAAAATTAAATTAGAGCAAGAAAAAAAGGGGGAATTTCAGAACTTTTTCCAGTTATTTGAAGACAGAATGGTCAATAAGCCCCTCCAAAGAGACCCAGTGTGCATTCCTCTGATATTCGGCTATAATCTCTACTGTTCTGACAACTCCCAAAGACGAAAATGCTCATTTCTACGCCTGTAAATAAAAAAAAACCTTAAAAAGGACAGGGCGCCCCCTTTTGGTCTGTTTCCACGGGCGCCGCCATCTTGACTTACATGATGCATTACACGAAATAAGCGCCCATAGAAAACAGTGCAAAATCAGATCGAAATAGCTGTTGACTCTCAGGGAGCGGTTGGCCTACTTTAAGAATTCAACAAGTAAGAAGTAAGAATTCATGGGTATGGCCCGAAGATCACTTTTCGTTTCAATTTTATGGTTTTAGCCTCGTTGATTTTTTATTCCTCTGTCCCCGAAGATATATGGAAAAACTATACGCGCACACCTCTGAATGTAGCCATCCGCCTCTATCCAAAATAGGCCGGCAATCTTGGGCTTTTTGTGAAAGAAATATCCCCAGCTGTAAACTGCCAGTCCAAAATTCGGGATTTATAGAAATATTTCTATGATCCCTCCTGTTTATGCCATATCCTGTAGTAAAAACCCTATGGGATCACAAGATATTAATGAGCTCGCGTGCAGAAATCCAACGATATGGTGGAATGCACCCTTATATCTCTGTGTTGACAAAGCACTGTCAATTTCATTTAAAAGCACGTCCTCAAAAGCACGTCACCGGGGTCGAACTAAGGACCCATACTCACATCGAAGTAGTATAGAAACACGTGGCTGCAAAATGCCACTCCATATGATGCAGGCCCCGTGACCAAATCCCGACAAAATTCCAGGTGGTCTTAAACTTTTGCAACTGATTGTAGTAAGATGCATCAAGTGTTAGTGCAACTGTTGTATCGAAATAAAAATATGGAGTTCAGTTGATAAAACGTGTTGACTCCACCGTCCAATTTTGTTGCTGCTTTGATTTTTTGTTCAAGTAGCTAGTCATTTCAGTCCTCTTCCTATACCAATTTCACCAAATACGTTTCTCTCGAGTTTTTGGTTCTTTCTAATTCTAACTGTAGATGTATTTTGGATTTGAAACTCAGTTGACTTCTCAAGTGGACACCTTATAATTATGCTTGCACAAGCACACGTGCGTTTTAGTTTCCTCAAATAAAAAGGCAGAACTGATAATGCAGGAAGCTTACCTGATTTTTTTTATAGATGGACATTAATTTTATCTCTATATTTTTTTACATTTTCATCTCAATTTATGAAGAGGTTAGTTTAGTAGTTAGCCTACTAGACATTTTAAAGACAATAACAGACCAACACATACTTACACATGTGTTTCTGAGCTTGACAACTTTGCTGCTACGATGACGATTAAACAGAAGTAGCAGAAATACATGGTGCTATTATGTCGTCCACATCAAGCCCTGACAAGAAGGAAAAGTAATTCCCAAATGGTCAAGTCACAACCTGTTACATCTTATGTGACGAATCGACTGGCCAAAGCATTAATTTTTCTTCTTTCTGGTTTGGACAAGCTTCCTTGTCACCAGACTCATCAGTATTTAAAGTCGTTAATGGCAAGGGAATTTAAAACTATTTCAAAGTCTGTTCGTTCTCTATGGACTGGTTTCCTTAATTTCCAACACGTAAGTGGAGCCAATGTCAACGGCAACAAACGAAAATATGACTGACTTGTCCCCGCGCCTGGAGCGCTGCACCGCTTGCACTCGTGGCTGGCCGCGGTGCGGCACTTAGCGGCGGCGGCAGCCCGGGCTATAGCCTAGGCTGCGCTGAAGCACGGTGCGGTGTTACTGACATGTTCATTTCGCGGGGACATGTTCAGCGTGAGAATCAACCTGCGGCTGCGGCTTGTATTCGGAAAATTACGGTATACTTAAAATATTTATTAGGAAAACACAACAAAAAACACCAGCGTGTGGAACTCAGAAGCGAACGGGGGGGGTGTTCGAACCCCGACCCCCCCCCAGCCTACGGGCCTGACTGTCGAGTCCTTCAATTTGTTACTTTCAGCATTCATCAATTTTCGCTTTTTTTGTCAAAATTACATAGACTTTACATTTCCATTGGCTCCTGACCTCTTCCTTAATTCATTTTACCTTTTCGAAATCTATTTTATACAAAAATCTGAACCTTTAGCCGATTCCGCCGTAGTAACTTCGTGGTATCATCATAATTCCAATCTTTAATGAGGGAATTAATACGGACTTTGATAATGGCCGGAGCCAAGGGCGCGAATGTGTTTATACCCATTTGAAGATGAGTTTTGAGTCAGGAAGACAGTTTTAACAATTTTTTTCAATATTTTCTTCCGTTTTTCAAACACCAATTTAGCAATGTTGGTATTTGCTTCTTGCAAGTAGACGCAAGTAATCGCCTTATATGAAGATTATGCTCACGAGGCGCGCACTTCGTGAGGTGAAGCATGAACCGGAAGCAATGGGCGCTAAATCAATACCCATTCTCCTGTAGAGGTCTTAAAAGAACGATTAAGACCAGCACGTGTTTATTTCCATTCATAAACACCTAGCGTGTCAAACACACTTCATATTTTATAAGTTTCCTACAATTTATCGAACATTTTTTTCATGTCTTTTTTCAAACACCTTGTTAGCCATAGCATCGTATGGGACCCCGCAAACGTGGTGGGCTTCGACTGATGGGATGGCTAAACTGCCTGATTTATTTGTTAATTTCGATTTTTTCACATTTTTCTCTAGTTCCTTAACTGGCATTGTTGCATATAAGAAAACATATACGAAATTATGTCTCCTAACGATTAGACGAATATAGTGCAGAAAACGCACGCGTTAGATTAAGAATGATGTCATGGTGAGGTCATCATAAATGTTCGGGATATTTCGAGCACTCGAAATTTTTGTTAGAACTAGCTAGTCTTATTCAGATATTTCCAACTAGCATTCCGAGCTTTAGGCCTAATTTAAGACCTCGTGACATTTGAGCTAACCACCAACAACTCTTTTTTCATCCTTGTCGAGGATGCTGTCTGAAACAAACACAACGGGGGCCTAGTTGACGCGTCTCTTCCTATTCCTTGGCAAGATATTGATATTCGTTTTGTTGTCTTTCTGGTAAGCAGAATAGATACTTGCGTGAGGAATGAGTTCCGTAGAATGGGAAGTTACTAAGTGGCAAGTGAGGATTTTCCGGTGCAGACATTAAATCAATGTGTCCCATTAGTCAATGATTATTTTTCCCGTGCACAACACTAAAGTGTACATATACTTTGCTTAGTTGGTTAGTCCGTTGGCCAGATGGTTTGTTGGTCGACTGGACAGATTGCGGCTAGGAAGCGTGTTAGCCCTTCATTTAAGATCACGTGGATCTATTGACTTTTGCTGGAATTTGGTCAATCCGTATTCGTATAATTTTCTTAAGTAGCTCATTAAAATTGTATGTTAAGCGTGGCCTTTATGCGGGCAGTTTTCTTAGGATAACAAAGTTGAAATTTTTACAATGATCACCCTTCTCAGACCCGGTGTTTCACATTTTCAAGAGAAAGGAAGATCCAGATCTTATGAAACTGTGAGCCATCAGCCGAAAGATTTATGAGTCCAATCATGTGCTCGGCAAAAACCTCGGGGAAAATGTTCCAACGGGTGGGCTCCATGTTGCCTCACCCCAAAATACGTTTTGTTATTTGTAAAGGCTGTTTTACCCAGTGGCAGCATAATGCCTTCGGTATTTTACGAGAAAAAATACGATAGTACAATATGTTTAATTTTAACTCTTGCTGCAGAAAAATAACACAGCGCCTCGGGAGAAGATGCTTCATTTCAAAAGGAAATAACAGAAAATGGCTTTGTTCTCTTCGGGGGAAAGCAAAAACAAGTAACTCTTGCTTTTGTTCTACAAGCCTTCTCGGTTTTATCATTCAATTGCACATTTTCTGTTGAGCTCACTTGCGTAAATTTGAGATGTAAATTGGGGGATCGAGGATGGGGAAAGGTGGTGGGGGAAGACCAGCCGGCCATGGTAATATAAAAAAAGGGTAGGGTGGGTGACACCATACACCTTATGGGGGCTATGTTCATGATAGAGATGTACAGCCATAATACGTAGTACATTCACGCCGAATCTTACGTCTGGAGAGATATTTATGTCTGTTTCAAATTGCTTTCCATTTTAGAGTAATACTAAAAACATTTTAGCCATTGGCAAATGCGAACAATTCTTCATAATGCGCTCCATTTTTTGACTAACCACAAAAAGTGTGGGGGGTGATTCAATAGCCTATCCCCCTACTTCACGAATTTTGGGGGAAAATATCCCCCATGCACCCTCCGAGATTTATGCCTACGGTTGAACTCGGGAAAAAAAGCATCAATTTCCTTTATTTCCGTGTTTTTACTTTCATGCATTCCCTCTTATTTTTAGGCGCAGTTTTGTTCCGCCAACTTGTGAGGTCCACAGCCTCTACAACTTTTCCCAACAGAAATTTTCGCACAAGCATGTAGTCTAACAAGATGCAGAACAAACATCTGTAAACGTGTAGAGGTCGCACGGCTTGATATGGTGGCTACATTTCATTAATACGGCAACCTTGCAGAAATCTTGAATCGCTTGGTGCTTCCTTGAGTGAACATTAGTTGGCTTAGTACATAAAAAAAGTTCTTTTCGTGCGAATTCTATATCGCTGCAATGCCAGCGTGCTCGTGCTTCACTCTTCTTGCCTTGTTGAAAAATGTCTCACTTGGCCAACAGTACGTGTTGCGTGTAAAATGTCTGGTTTTTAAACTGAATCCAGACTAATCTCAAGACATTTTCCACCCACACTCAATGAACGTGGAAGTCTTTTCAAGATTGAATATTTTGGTAAAGTTTTTAAATTGCCCTCTTCCAAAAGTGTTTTTCTACACAAACTAGAAACCCCTAGAAACAACACTTTAATAACAAACTACAGGGCCTACATCCGCATTTCCTCATTGGGTCTACAATTCCTCAATTGAAAAAGGTGATCGGAAAAAAGCATCAGTACTCACTGTAAAGGAGTCCACTTGCGGAGGAGGCTACTCCACGTAACTTGGGTCTTCACCACCAAGCCTGTAGCGGGCTGCTTGTTTCCCGTGTTGCAACGTTGCTCAAACTAGGTAGTAATAGGTCAAATGACGATATGAACAATTTTGAATTGGTTGCTCTTGGAGGTTTTGCCCGTCGGTACCGTCAGTGAAGTCTGTTACTTATCAAAGGCAGCACTGGTATAGTGTGTTCTGATTCAGCCAACATCACGTGACATCACTGCATGACATCATCGCTTGTAAGTGCAGTTCTCTGCAAAATCTTGCCCCTGATTTCCCACACATTGTTCTGTCTCACAATCGCGCTGCACTAAGTTCAGTTTTGTCGATATAAACCCATAGTGCAGATCTGTTTTGTTTTTACAGGCAAGTGGAGTGTGGCTGCTGAAATTCTTGGAGTAAGTTCTAACTGTGACATTGGCATACACTTTAAAAACAACGCTTAGAGACAAAACACATTTCTGAACACATTTTTGTGCCCACTTTTTTGACATGTTATGCGTTTAGGAATGTGTTGAACTACTAAGCTAATTTCAAAAAGCTAAACATATACCGCGGTAAAGTGTTTAGCATTTAAAAACACATTCCTTAAAACACATTTAAACTCATAATGTCATGGGTTGAACGTAAGGAGAAAGTGGGTACAAAAAGTGTTTAAAATCTAAACGTTGTTTCGACAGTGTATTTCATAATAGTAGGCCTATACTCTCTTTAATACACGCTCTTTATCGCATTGATACTTCAGTTATAGCCTATCCAACTTTTCAGCTTCATTGTATACGTACAAATCGAAATTCTACATACATTTGGATTGGACAGGTTTAATTAACGCATTAAAGATTTTGCCTATCCCTGGTAATGTTCTTTTTCTGCAGTTGATCATTCAGGCCGTTTACCTTAAATACAAACTTCATACTTATGACCAGCCACCGGAACGAACAGTTGCCAGAAGCAGATAAACTCAGAAGACTTACGATTAATACTTTAAGTCCAAATGTCTGTAAACTTTCGACCACAGCGGTAAATCGGAAATTTGTGGATAAAGATGAGCCTGCTGGGTGCATGCACCGCCGTTTTAAGGGGTATACATGTACCCGCGATGTCTTACTGTGTCTGATCTTATCTTCAAAACTCGGTGTTGTTTAGGAGGTGTACTGTTGTTGATAGTGCAACGGGACTGAATTCAAACGTGGATGATGCGCGCGTCAGAGATAAATTTGGGGGATCACCTGCAACCCTTCCAGTTACGTGCATAGAAATAGATGGAATCTAACAAGTTCAATGCTGTTTATGTTGCGAATTGGTTTTCACCATTTTCGTGATTTATCACGAAAGTTAGACTAACTTGCCTATGTCACCTAGCGCAGCCTCAGTTGGAGGATCTTTTGATGGAGATGTTTGTTTGAAATCGTTGTTCTGTTAGAGGAACCCGTTCAACACTGTTCAATTTGGAATCAACTGAACTCTAACAGAGCCGGGTTATTTTGTCCCATTTCACAGCCGGAGAGGGGTTGGGGCGGATTCGCCTCTCCCTAAGAAGGCAGCTTTGCCAAGGTCAATTATTTTGAAACTTTGCATGCATATAAAAACACTCCTTATCATTACAAAAATGAAGTTTTGAACTCAATCAATCATACAGTTTTGTTATTACGGTCATTTGGAGTTCACGGCTACATGCGTGCCAGCCTGCGTACGCGCGTGCACTGAACAAGAACGGTATCTTTCATTTTTGCAAAAATGATGTCACCATCACCATAAAGAGTTACCCTAAAACTCCTCTGGGCTAAACTCGTGAAAAAAATGCATCGTGGTGATACTGGAAAATATGTTGGAAGCGGATTCCGTCTCTGGCTCTTTCAGGGTTAACGCCCATGGTATCTACAAAGAAAAACAATATATTCGAGGTTGTTCTGTACGGATTTCAAAAGTGCTGATTTAATACGATTGTGCAAACTGTGAAATTAATACCTTCCCATCTTTGGGGTAGTTCGTATTGTAATTTTCCAGAATTTTGAAGGAGTTTTATCAACTTCCCCCCTTTCTCTCCCCCCGCCACCTCTCTCTTCTTAAGAGCAAGCCATCATCGAGATGGCCTTGTCTTCTCAAGGGCCCGATGTTCGGTTCCGAGTGAAGTTGACTCTGTTCTTCTTCATCACCGTGGGTTCACTCAGTCCCGTACCGGCCAGTTTCATCCGCTTCAAACCAGACACTGAGTACATCTACGCCTTCCACTCCTCCACGGAGCTGAAGAGTGTTCGAACGCTGCACGCTGAATCTAAGGTAGCAAAGCTTCGGTGCATTAACTGCAGTTTGCCCTGGAAGTATAGACGAGATCGGCTTTAAATTGTGACTTCTGGCCCAGAGCGAGGACTTCCATGTTCGCACAAACCAGCCATTAGTGGCTGGTTTGTGGGAAGATTAGGGATACCCTCCCCCCCCTCTTTCTTAAAAGGCAGAGCCACCGGCGGCATTTTCAGTTCAAGAATGCTCTTCCCCTGCGGAGTGATTTGTCAATATTTAAGTGTGCCTTCTATTAGTCCCTTTCTAATTTGCCATAAAGCATTTCTTTTTTTGCTGCATGCATACTTCAAGGCCCAGTGCCCCCTAACATAGTCCTGAATCCTCCAAGTTCAATATGATTTTGCACACACCCTAGGATTGTAGAGACTATATGTTTGGTGTGTCTTTAATTTTATATTCACTATTCGGACTGTTTTGTCATTGTGGTTGATTCATTTCTGAAAGTTTTCCATGATTTACGTTTTAGGTTCAAAATGTTCGTGACTGTTTCTTCATAAAAAGGGTCACATTAACGGTGTCCTGTTTGAGGAACACAAAACAAAATAGTTTCAGGGCAAAGAATACACCTTAAAAAGTTTCCAACTTCCAAAATAGGTTGCATCGTTAATTTTATTCAGTTTAGACAGCTAGAAATTTGCGTACAATGTGTACAGTCTAAAAATCACGCCACTGACCCTGTATCGTTCTGTTAACCATCACTGACGAGGAAGTGAAAGTTTGATATTCGGTTCTCTAGTCTTGTTAATGATCATTGCACATGTGGAAGTATGTACCACAGTACTGTTTGTATAAACTGCACTTTCTTTGACCCTCCGTTTTCCAAAAAAAAATGTAGTGTTTTAATTTGTCACACATTGAATTGTTTTAAAGTGATATCCGCTTTCCATATCAACTGTATACCCGGGGTTCTTCTTTTATGTTAAAGTAACACACCTAATACAGGTCTGTCGAATAAATTTCCACATTAGTATTTCTTTCTGAGAATTGTATTGTAGCAAAAGAAAGAAAGGTGTATTGTTTTTAGGTTACCTCTGTTTGTTAAATTTTGTGAAATGTTTAGAAAAAATTGTAAAAAGAATTGTAAAAGCAACCCGCTTTGACACTTCCTTACAGAATTACAAAGCACCGTTGGTCGAAATGCGTAGTATTCATGTTGTACACCCATCTTCAAGTTTTTTAACACCTTGGACGTCCAAATAAATGACATCACCAGGTATACATGTGGCATTTACAATGTCATGTACAATACAAATAGATTGTTGAAAAATGTAAACCAGGGAACCTGAATAGTCGATCCTGACTTTAACTTCTCTGTTACTGTTTAAGTAATGGGCCAGTAACTTTTAGATGTCATACTCCATGTCTTTTTCGCCGTTTTACAAGATTGGCTTCGTGTTGGTAAAAAGGTCAAACCAGAGCAGTGGGAGCCAGGAGATTTTCCTGCGTGTTCACTCAGCAGCCATAACCAGCGACGAAAAACAAGGTATCATGAAATTTCATTTCTCGTTCATATGTTTGGAAGGACGCCAACTGATTATTATCTGCATATTTACAGATACTGTTGCTATCAAAACATTTCAGTTGACAAGGTATTCAGGTAAAACAATCTTTCATTTCCCCATTGAATTTCTGGGCAAGGCTGATGGAAACCATGCTGATGTCTGAAATATACACCCTTTTCCCACAAGGGGCGAATAAACTACCGCGGTGACAACGTTTTGTTTTTGTTTTTTTTTTCACCAGGGCTCTGTTTATTCATTTATAAGGTGGCACATGCTAGAGGGAGATTTTCAATGTGGAGTTACACACAACACATGCTGTTACAAATTCGTTTCAAAGGCCAATACACAAAGAGCAACAAGATTTTGTTTCTGATTGTCGAAGCAAAATATCCAAGCAATGATGACCATCTATATTTATCAAAGCCAAAACCACGAACTACAGTGAGTTGTTGATGTGTTCAGAAGTAAGCCTGTGCGTGGGTGTGATTTGACATTGTGTAAAGGACGTCGGATTTTTTTCCGGGGGAGGGGAGCAAATCAGTCGTCAGTACCGGTAGCAAATTGACAAACCATGAACGGTTGAAGGGGTCAGTTCGGGGGTATTTAAACCAACTTGGTAATTGTCATCCCTTGTCGTCCTTCCCACTCTGTTTCGCTTCCCCCACCCCCTTTTTATGTACATTTTAGAGGATGGGGACAAATTACCTCCCTTTTGCGACGCCCATGTGTGTCCTCCAGTTTCAACTAACCACCTCCCAATCAAACGACTCGTGATTACTGGAAATCATAGAATCACAGCTATGGTCACTACTCTTGGATAATACAATTATTTTTAGTATTAAAAGGAACCCTGTAACATGGTTTTTATGGATTGAATGCATGTAAAGCTGTTTCAATTGCATGTTATGGTGAATGCCCATCTGCTGCCAAGCAGTAAACGGGAGAAATTTAAAAAATTAGGATTCTATATAATAATGTTAATAAACATTTCCATTTTAAAAAGCCAAAACGTGATGTCATTTAAGGCAGAACAGGGCTGTCTCCATAGCTTTGTGTGAAATTTATGAATCACACTTTTCTCATGACATACATATTCAAGGAGTGGGTTCCAATTTATACTTGATGTGCATGGCCATCAGTGTTTAATATTTCTTCAAAATTTGGTGGGTGGTTTTCGAACTTCTGATTTATGCATGTACGCTATTAAAGTTAAAACAAATAAAGTAGGCGACCTGATTTACCAAATGTAGGAGAGAATTGTTGCCAGGATAAATAAAAATCATAAAGTAATTGTTCCTCCGAAAAAACAGACTTGTACTGAGAGCAAAATACACCTGTCTTCCCTGCGACTTCGGTGTAGAGTCTTTGAAGGTTGTGAAATGATTGCATGCACGTTCATGACTGCAAGAGCCAAGATTAATATTTTGTCCAGAATATCGTAACTTCCAGAAATGGATTCTGCCGTTAGCCCTAGATAATGTCTTGAATTGTATAAATACCGGTGAAGGGAGGTTTAAGGTAGAATTTTGGTATCGAAGTAATTGCGGGGATTTTATTGTAGAGCTGCTCATTTGTCGCGGTGGGATTTTGCGATGAGTTCTCTGGGACCGTTTCCTGTGCAGTTTACTCCGGACGTAAGAGGGACACCGTGTAGTGGTGTTTTCGTGCTAGTCGAAGATTTTTAGAATGGTCCTCAGTAGGTTTGTCGAGGAGCTACCAAACTCTTTATAGTTCGTGGATTTCCTCCGGGCTCGGTCGTTTTGAGCTACAGTTAGAGTGCCTGCCTCAAGACCTGCCCCGTGCAGTCTGTCTATCATCGGGTTCCAAACATCGTCATTATTTCACTGCACCGTTTGCGTCACCAGCGTCAAAATCATTGCACATTCCTTTGATTTCCGAGTTGTATAATAAAATCATCTCAATAATTTTAGTCTGGTATCTGTGTAAGCCTTGTTTGATTTCAAATTGAGAATATGTCCAATATTTCTGATAACTTCAATTCGATAGCAATCTGGAGAATTTCTGGAATACCGATCCTAACAATTGCCAATCCAGTTGAATGTAAGCTTTAGTGCATTTAGCCGAAGAATGTTATGAACGGGCGGCTTTGAACTGACAAATAACTTAGAAATTTTAATTCCCGTGTCCTCATTGCTTTTTTCGCAGTTGTTCTGAATGAGGAGAGAGATTTTTCCAGGTGGTAAGTTAGTTTTTAATGATCTGCAAAATGTATAGCCGTTTTTAACATGCGCTCACTGTACAACGGGGCTGCTTCCGGTGAACTTTTGCACCTTTAGCCATTTTGGGGTTCTATCAAATAGCTTCCATGCTGCATCCCTGGCTGGATGGCCACGTGAATTGTACGTCTAACAAGCGAGACTTTGGGAAAGAGGTTGAACAAGTCAACTTGTGAAAGTTATACTCGAACGCACCCGTCAAAATTAAGAAGCTATTTTGAGTACAGTAACGGCGCATGCCCAAACTGTCACTTGTCCAAGGTCATCGTTTCTAATAGAGAACGTTGGCAATGTTTAGGAAAACACTTGCCAGGAAATTTAAGCCCCCTTAAAGGCTGAAGTACCATGTTCTCAGCTGAACAAACCCGGAAGCCATCTATTTTCACAATGCCTGACACCTGGATGACTTGGGTCCAGTCCATTTTTCTGCGACGTACGTCTTTTTTTTTTAAGTAATCCCATGCATTCATGCAAGATGTAGCTCCACGTGTCTGAAGTGGACATTGCCAATCTAAGCGTTATCCGTAAAAGATCAAAAGATTAAAAACAAAAACGAAAGTTTGACAGTGATTCAAGCTGTATTTGTCAGGACGTCGTTCTCGTATGGTCGACCATAACAAGGGAAGATTTAGACAACTCGTGATGACTGTCAATCAGGAAGGCCCCTGGGAGAACCGTGGAAGAATATGTTCGTTTTTCACCCCAAAGCTTGGGGGCACAGTTAGTGCAGGCACTGGGCTAGTTGGGGGATGTAGTTGCACTGTAAAAAAGACGCCATATTGACGGCGGTTCACTTCATTCGGTTTTATTACACTATCGATCGGTATTACCATTACTGAACGTCTTTACATTGTCGGTCCAAACATTCCATTAGATCCACAAAAGCTTTAGTAGTGCAGATAATTGATTCAAAATCCTTTGGACCAATCATTACATCTTGCTCGAATGTTCATCATAAAAGGGGCCTACAGACCCGCCGTATTGAGTACGCTATTTCTAACCGTCTGTGTGTCGAACATGATCACACTTTCTCCGTTATTTAAAAAAAAGTCTTATTTTAATACCAAAACAGTACAACAAATTTAAAGAAAACTTAAGCCCAAACACAATTTGGTCAAGGTTGCCATGTCGCCTTGCATAAACGGACCTTTTCATGTCTATTAGCCTAACATTTAATAATAATTATACGCATGGAAATTGAGAAACGTGCATATGTATTCTAAGCATTAAGTAACAGTGTAATTAAAGGCACGCATTCATACGCATGTCCTTTGGGCCGTTCCGCGTCCGCATCCGTTTGCCACGTTTCTCTCCGGGTCAATTTCAATGAACGCTTTTTCAACTTACGCGTGTAGGCACGAGGCAACTGCGGTGGAAGGATTTACAGGGGGGGGGCAGTTGTGAGACCATCAGGCATCAGCAATTAATAGGTTGAGCCATTAAGCCCAACCCATAAAACCCCCAGACCCCCTTTTCACGTTGGGTCTATACATGACAACATTGACCGGGGGAGGGGGCTGGAGAGCGTACGGCTATTGCCAAATGTCCCAATGATTTTGTCCAGGATCGTAGGTCCTGTACTAAAGCTTGCAATCACATGCACAGTACAGTGCAAGGCTTTCAACATGGGCTTGACAAGGAAGGTTTGCCTGCTCCCGCCCCCGAAAAAAAGGAAAATTAAAACAGGGAAAAAGAGGAAAGGGGATGAAGTTGACGAATTTGCTGGAAACTATCTCGGAAATTACCCCCTTTCGTCCGTTGAAGATTTATTAGTTTGGTGCTGATGAATACTGCGCCCCTGGAAAATACTTGTGCTTCCATATTTTCCCACATTGATCTAATTGCACAGTAATAATCCTTATAAGAGGGGATAGCAGACAACTGACGCATGTGATTTCCAAGAGCATGTGATGGGTTGGAGAGTTATACAAAATGAAGAAGTAATGGAAAATAAAATTTATATCTGAAGAGGAACATGATCATTTATGCAGTGAGAGCAGTAGGAACAAAGGAAGGAACTTGCATGTGAATGGAAAAATGAAGGACTTGTTTAAGAACATTGGTGCTTGTTTCGGACGCGTCATTTTTTAACACAGATTTGTTACTTTCATGTACAAATGTGTAAGCACAGATTTACAACGTTACTTTGTTCCAACATTCCCCTCTATAAATTAACAACGAAAGAATGAAGCACTCCAACTGTTTCATGCGAACAACGCACATTTTGACCCCCTTAACTAGAATCGTTTTGTTTTTTCCAGCTGTTTGACACGTTGAAACTGAGGTGATAATTTCTATATGTATCATGCCGAACTGAGCCATATTCTGTCTAAGTCCACAGGAATAACAAGGTCGTTACTTTTTCAGTCTACCCCTGCACAAGTGTCGGTCAGTTTTTACTTGAACCAAGAACTTACAATAGATGTCACTCTGTACAAAACCTTTGAGGGTATGCCCTTCCACGGGATCGCCACCCAAAGACTCAATTTTTTTTCAGAATTGAATCATTTTTTCAGAGTGTAGATTTCAGCAAAAATACTGAAATTTCAAACTCACGCTGTAGGTTCTCCTTTGACATCAACGAGAACGGAGCGATTGGTCAGGTATTCCACCCGCGTGATGAGGACAATCACGTGATAGAGGCCAAGAAAGGTCTGGTCAGCCTGTTAGCTAGTAACCTACAACATCCTCCAGACGAAAAGGTACGGTAGGAACTAAAACGGAACATTATGATTATTACTATGATTACAATGTAGTGACAGGTTTTCCAGTCCAGAGCGCTTAATGTTTGAATTTGTTGAATATAGAACCTGGAGACCATCTGAAATTGGCCGCTGAAGGAAAAAGAAATATTTTAAAAGAATAGAGTATATCCGAACTCTTTCTGTTTTAAGTGATTCTGTCCTGAATTGTTTTCCCTGGTTTAGCTCTATTTTCTATTTACAACATAGGCCTAAGCTCAATTAATCGACATATTTGATAAATATGCCACACTAGACGCGATCGACAGAAACTAAAGCACATGGCGTACACACAAAAGCAGGCCATAAAATTGACCATTAGCTCTTCAACACACACCTTAGGCTATTCTCCAGTGAATTAAAGGATTGTTTATATCCCTTACCATTGGTAGGTTAAAAACAATTCAATCTTATTTTGATAGAGGCAGGCAAAAGGCTGGAACTATGACAGCAAAGACAGGGGCTATGAGGGTGATCACGAGGCGTCCTACACCGCTCAGATGGCACCAGGCAACGATGGGATCATCGTCTTCACTAAGACTAGACGTACTCACCCAATACCCTATGGCAAGACCAAACACCAAAAGGTCTCTGTCTATGGCTTCATAATTCAGTGTCGTGAACTTACCTCAGTCTGAGACATCTAGGCTTAAAAAAGTTTTGTGATAATACTCCATATCTGCTGCGGAAGCATCCCAGGTTTTGTTAAGTTACGCTAGGGTTTGGAGTATTTTCCTGTTGATCGGTCAGTTGCATTTGAAGGCAATTGTAGAGCTCGAGATTAAGTGCAAAAACAAATCTAAGATGTGCAAAAACAGCCCTGATTGGGATTCTTTCGGTTAAGATGGGGCACCGTAGACGAAGAACCCTGAAGTTTTGTTTGTCCTATTTTTTGCCCGTCACTGATTCTGACCAGCTTTGAAACGGTGGGTCTCACAATTGAAGAAAGCTGTGCTTGCTCCCTTCATTACGAAAATTCTTGAACATGTGTTCCATATTCAGACGACGTAGATCTATTATACTGTAACTGCAGAGGTGGACTCAATGACACACGACGAAAATTTTCTCCAAGAGGGGTAAAATAGCATTTTATTATTTTTCACGAGGTCCTCATGTGCCCCCTTGCGAAGTATAAAATTTACACCTTTTTTTTCTAATGTAAAATGTTTTCGCAAATGTCCATGGTGCATTGTGATTGATCCTGGTTTATATACTGCATCGAATTGCACTGGAAAAATAAGTACTCCACTGCACAATTTCAGTCCATATTTAGCAGAATTAATGGGGTCATAATTCTTTGGGGAAAATTAGACGGGGAAATAGGGAGGGGTCACTTTTTGAACAATTTTCAATGTGGGGAAAAAAGAGGGTTTATCATTTGGGTACATTTGCGACCAGAAAGAATTACAGTATAACCGTTTGCAGATTCTTGGATTTTCGTCCCACATCGCACTTTTCAGAAGCAATACAACACCCTCGATTTCAATACATTTTGGGGTTAACATTTCTGTCCCTACATTTCTTTCCCTTGTGTTCAATTAGGAGATCCATTATAATCCAGGTCTGCAGCTGCCAGAGATAGTTAAGACACGGGATCAATTTGACGCTCCTCGAGAATCGGCACCAGGGTAAGTGTTTTTGTTTTGTATAATTTTTTTCCTCAGTTGTTGGTTTTTTTTTTTTTTTTGGTTTTTTTTTTGATCGCTGATTTGGAAGCGTTACCCCTTGCCTTTTGGAGGAGTATGGTGAATGAGTACATTAAGTCCCAGCATCAAAATTTGCCTTAACTGCTGAATATTCGCCTGGCATCTTCTTTTACTGTCTCATGATTAGTGCCAATCGTGCTTTTTTAGTGATGAAACTTTCCAGTCTGATTATCATTGGACTAAACCAACCCTCATATACAAACAGTTCTTATTTTCTTCTTTTACTGTCTCATGATTAGTGCCAATCGTGCTATTTTAGTGATGAAACTTTCCAGTCTGATTATCATTGGACTAAACCAACCATCATATACAAACAGTTAAGATCACAACGCACGTACGTACCACACGCAAACCGAAAATCTGCCTTTAATAAATCTTCATCGTATCCATACTCGTATCTCATACAAATAAATACCAGAAAAACCATTCAAACACAGTATCCGCCACCGTCCACCCCACCGTTTATTTCTGCGTAAAACAGCATTACTCATGACACAAAGACCGGCAGCGTGTTCCGGAAACGTGTGGGTGCCCTCACCTGTTCGGAAATATACAAAAATGTACATTGTAGCTAAAACTGTACAAGCCTCTAATGTTCCCCGTGCACGGTTGAATGAAAGTCGACGACTGATGATACTTACTTTAGTCATTTATTTCAGAATTTGGAAGCGATCAGTGTGCGAATAACAGTACTATAGTATAATGTACTGCGACATTTAATGATGCTAAAGCAAGGTACCCTGAGAAGTCAAAACGAAAGAGGGGGTGGAGACACTTTGTACGCCATGCGTACAGGGGAAGGGGAGGTTTGAAAAGTCGGCATGATGTCGTGCGTATACATGTACTTTATGGACGACCCCACAGGCCTGCCAAACCACAGCGTGCACTGATTTGAAAAAGACGCACTGCTTCAGTTATACTAGACAACTTGCAGTTAACCATTATATTAACATGGGCCTAATTGAGACTTACTGATTCTCTTGTGAGTTGGATAAACGTGACTAATTACAGCCATAAAACGCTATCAGATGCATTTGGCGGAGGTCTACCGCCCCGCTTAACTTCCACTAGCCTTTGATCAAGGCGCCCGCGGCGAAATGGATAGTTGCTCAAGAGCGAGGAGTTGGAGGAGATTACTTTAAGCGCCAAACAACGCACAGTCCACGACACACAGCTCGGCTCCTGAATGCGTATGCATGGTGAATTTCGAGCTTGCATGAGGTTCGTCGTGTGGTCTTGACTATCCATTTCGCCGCGGGCGCCTTGATCAAAGGCTAAACTTCCACCTGTGTTGAGACTTGAATCATTGACTTACGATGGTACTCTTCCGGTTGTAATATAAGAGGTTCTTCTTGGTAGATACAGTAAGCAAGGGTATCTGTAATCTGTTCATTTGAGCCCATTCATTACTTGTTCAAATGCGCTTTACAAAGTAAAAATTCTTAGAAGAATCATGGGCGGCCTACCTAAGAAGAATCATAAATTAAAACTAGAGAAAAAATAAGACAATATAGGCCTAGAGAGAAAAAAATACAAAACTTCACAACAGCAAAATTTGGGACAAAGATAGGTGGAAAATTGTAACATGCAAAGACTCAATAATATAGGGACACTTCAGACAGAAAACTGGCGAAGTACACCATTAATACACATTACAAAAGAGGGAAGTATACCATAAACTAAAATTATACCAAAAGGAACGGGAAGTTGAAAAAGAAAAACGTACATGTTTGAAAACATCTATACTTGACCCCTGTGGTAGATGATTTGTTCCTTGTGAAATTCATGACAAATTGACAGGCTCCATCCGGAGCTATCCGTTGGCTGGCTGGCTGGACTGCCTGCCCGGGCCCCCGGGGGGGGTGGGGGTGACTGGGGCTCTTGATGGATCCCACAACCTCCGATGTTGTTAATGGTCACAGAGCAAGAGCAAACCAATGTACCTGCGCACAGTTACTTTTTTGTAGGGCGGGGTCAAGAGTGTAACCACCTGCCATGATCGTAGGAGCATGTTTTTTAATTACACAACTGTCTGGAAATTAACTGACACACCACGTACTCTCCTGCGGGAAAATCGTTTTATCAAGGTTGCCACTCTTGAGAGAAGTCTATAGTCTTCACGTCTCCTGGAAGCTTCCACTGTTGAATCTGAAAAGTTCAAAAACAAAAGGTCAGAGTCATATGATTATATAGCCTTTATTCAAGTCGAGTTTCCCCAGCAAAAACACCTCCCGGGGAAAGTCTGGCAAGCCACCGCTAGCTCGGGCTGGATCTTGTCCTTTGAGAAATTGTTCACCGGAAGTAAGCCTCTAACCAGGGACGCACTGTTGTTATGTTTTCACAAACTTTTTTTTCATTTCTCGTTCCTTTTGGTTCTCCTCCACGGTTCTATTTCGTTACTTACCTATGCCATGGAGGAGTTCCTTCCTCCATGCGTGTATATGTATTCACTTCCCTCTTCTGTAGATTTTTTTTGTCTGAAGAGATGCGGGAAAAGTAGTTTTATTATTATTACAAAGACACTTCCGCATGCACCATGGCACTCATTTGGGAACAATTCAGACCGACATTCACTTGATGAAAGTATTATTGACTTGACTGGCGAAGTTTTTTTTACTGATTTTCATAAAAAAATATGCCCATAAAAATGTGTCCATTTTTCAATGTGCCATTGGCTCTTAGAAACGAATCTCTTGTGCTTCCCACTGCCAATCTACGGCAACTTACGAGAACCATCATAAAAAAATCCGTTACAACGCCAACCTTTGCAGGACACTCATAGTATCATACTATATAGGCCTGACTCGGATAAGAACATGTGCATATTCCAATGCCTACTACACTAGCGTCTTCCGAATTTTGTGTTGATGGCTAGTGTCGGAAAACCTGCGCTTGGCACCCATCCGCATAAAATGTAAGATTGTAGCTTACACTTGTTACGTCTTGAGCCCGCTTGGCCTGGTTTTTCTCCCTCCCAACATTTCAGTTTTTAACTCCACGATATGTCTAGCTCCGTGGTCATGGGAAGGCTGCTTCCACTCCCAGTTTTATAGCTCCATGGTCACTCACATAGACCTACAGCAAAAAATCATAATATCTGAAAGGCTAAACAAGACAACGCCAATGGAGAGTGACATGCGGTCAATGCAACCCTCGATGTGCGCAGCGTTGTAGTTACACCATAGAGCAAGGAGCATTCTAGCTGGCCAAGCCAAGAAAAGGTTCAGGGAGGGTTGACGGTTGAACGCTCAACTTGGTCGTCACTTTTTGTTGTACACGTGCGGTGAATGGAACGTGCCTTGCCTACATGTAGGTATTGTTTAGATGTCTATGATGTACACGTACATATGCAATGTACATGTACATGTAGATCGCTTATTAATTTAGAAACAGCAGCTCAAGACTGCAGAGCTCCTCAAGATAGTTGAGGGAGTTCTCCCTGAGAGTTGTGGTTGCTTGTGTGCATGAACAGTCTGCAAGTGTCAACCCATGCAGTCGTGAGGAGTGGCCACTCACTCATCAAAGATCATCATTAACCTGATTAATTAACCAGACCGGAAACTTAGTGGTGACAAAGATATGTCTGTACATCCACTACGTGATCCTAATTAAAAAAAATTGAAAAAAATCCTCATAACTGTGATGATGAGGGCCTACACCCACCTGTCCCAATACTGACCTAGCTTGGAATCCAGCATCTAGGCCTATACAGGTAGTCTCATGACATCGGCAGACTTTGAGGCATTTGGTATTTTTGTCACCCGCAATCTTGAACCTTAAGCAAATTTATTGTACTCCCTCGAATGGATGTTATTCAAAGGCAAATCAACTTGGGATGGAGTAGAATAAATTTGTGCAAGGTTCAAGATTACACTTAACATTTTTTTCTCCCCCATCATGTTGAGTTTAAACCCAAATCTGCGTTCGCTTTTGAATTTGCCCCCCCCCATGACATCAAAAGCTACGCTGCTGATCATTGAGGGTTAAAATTCTAATTGCAGCAACATGTGTTTAATTTTCAGATTTCTCCTCAGGCATCATGCAGATGAACAAACAAAGAAAGACAAATGGAATATGGGTAATTACACCTTCAACAGATTCAAAAATGGATCCCAGCGATGTTTTCCATTATGTGTGTTCTACTGAGAGAAGTGGTTTGGTCATCTGTCCCAAGAAATTGCTTTAAATTGTAGTTGATCCACTCAAACATTTGATCATATTTGGAAACATGGAAGTAAAGATTTAACACTGCATCTTTTGAAACCTCATAATTAACTGATGAATCGGTAAATTTATTTCAACATGTTCAAGGGAATTATGCTTGTGATTGGCTTTTCCTATTTCCAAACCTGTGGGAGATATAAACATTTGTCGTGTCACAGGTTTCTACTAAAACGGCACAGTACTGTTGCATGGAGAGGTTGCAATTAATGCATATTTCTCTCTATGTACATGGCTTTCCCTCACTTTCCATACAAGTGACTGGTTATTATAGGAAATGAGTCCTGCTTGTAGATGTTGGGTAGTTGTGTTCATACAGTACTGAAAGGATTTGTGTCTTGGATAAAACATTCACAGGGGAAATGCACTGATATGTTTTCTCCAGGTTAAGTTTAAAGAGGATTTTTAAAAAAAATATCGCCTCGTGTGTGTATGGGCCATAGTGCAGTACAGGACCTCGCGCACTTGCCCTCATCGATAAATGTCTGCCACAACAACATGACAAACCAAACTAAGGGGAATCTAATGGCATTTTGTGTTTGGATACTGGTCAGAGCTTCCGGAGATGCAGACCTTTTCTGAAGGGCAACTGACCTTTGTACGTAAGGTGTACTACCCATCACCCACTGGACCATCGGATGATGAAGACATTGTGACTGATTCCATACATATTAAGAAGGTACTGCAGAAATCAAATTATGTTCTGTTCTTTGTGTAACTTTTTCTCACATTATCTTGTCTGCTCTCCAGTGGTGTAACTATGGGGTGGAAGGGACAAGGCAGCTCCCCATCCCTGAAGGCTCAGCTCCCCCCCCCCATCTGTGGCTATGGTTGACCCACACCAGTTGTTGAACTTTGTGTAGTTTTTTTGTGGGCAAAAAGCACTTAAACCTGAGTTGCATAACATAAAGAAACTGAGGCCAAAACAACCGCCAAGAGTTAGAATTTGAACATTAAATTTAATGTAAATTTGCAAAGGATACTTTTAAAAAAATGTTTCATGATCAATCCAAAAATATCCAGATGATGGAGGCTGACAGTCATCTAGGTCTTGAGTACATTCTCACTGCTCCAGACAGGACTTGCTCAATCATGCACAGGACCTGTTGTTTTGCACATGCAGATCCAGATCGTGCTCAGTAATCCGTTGTTGGTTCACTGACACCAGAACCTGCCTAATGGATGGCATGAAGCAGCCCTGGGATCACTGATCGAGATCCAGATCCGTGTGAAACGAACGGGCCCACAGAGTACACTGATCCATATGACCCAAGCCATGTCTGGGGAGCACTGGTCTGGCCCAAGCCAAGCCTTTGAAAGAGCACTGATGTACCAGAGTGAGCGTCCCTTTAAGATGGCTCACAAGCATCAGTGAAAAGGTCTAATGAGCTCTAGTTGTCTCGACACCACAAACTGACACTCACCTGCAAGTGGGTGTCAGTTTGTGAAAACCATATTATCAACAATTTCGGTTTCATGAAATGACACCTGGTGGGGTGCACGCTCATTGGAGGCTGACGCAAAACAGACAGATTTTTGGTTTTCACAAAGTGGCACCCACTCTCATAAAAACAACTCATCAATGGGGACAAAAATGCTTCGGAAAGTTTGACATGAATTTAATCCACTCGCAGAGTTGTAGCATTGCATAAAAATTCAATGAAAAGTTGTTTTTCATTGTGGTGAAATTAAGATTGGTGTCAGTTTGTGAAAAGCAAAATGAACAGAAAGCGTGCTCAAAGTGTTGCACTGTGCTGGGTGCCAGTGCGTGAAAAAAATATAACTTGGTTTTCTAAAATGCACAGTGCTGGGTGCCAGTGCGTGAAAACAAAAATAACTTGATTTTCTAAAATGCACAAATAAGAGATCAACCTTACACTCGACTCGGTGCCAGTTCGTGGTGTCAGTGACGAATTGAGCAAAGTCTAGCTCACTTCCTCAGTATTGTCTCCACTTTGCAGCATGCTCATTTGTTTTGGTATTACAGCTACCAATCCTGGATGGATTGAGACAGGTCACTGCTGCGTGACACAGAGTTGTTCAAACCTGATTAGTTTATGCTAATCAAACCTAAGGGCACAATGCACTTTGTGTGCCACATATTTCAAGGTGCCCAATCCCCTAGTAGACTAAACGATGTCACAGCTTGAATTTATTGTCTGTCCTCAGCTTCCACGCAATGATCTTAATTTCAACAAGACATCCTTGAAAGAAGAGATAGTTGGTAATCTGACATGCATGAGAACGGCAACACTGAAAGGTAAGGCAAAATATAGACTTGGTAATTTAAAATATTCTGGCATATGCATTAATGTATACATCTGATTGACATTTAAAGCCGCCGGGGTGCAATTTGTGTGTATTATACAATGCCCGCATGAATCCCTGTCATCTGATCAGTACATGTGGATGGTTGATTGGTGTAACTGAATTATTCATTCTATTCAATGGCACCATTAACTAGAACTTCCTTCCTTTTGACTGGTTCCAACCCCCATGAAGAAAGAGGAAAATAATGTGTTTTGTAAATGAGGGATGTTAAGGGAGCGTCTCATAATTCGGAATGGCCGGAACATTCCCACTGGAACACCGTCTTTGCATTCCAGAACGGCTGGCCGTTCCACTGAGAGCAGTCGCGTTCCACATGGAACGGTGTGTTCCTTTGTAAGAACGGTCTGACAGGAACGTGTGTTCCAGTCGGAACACACTCGGGTACATATCGCCCATGTACTAATCTTAGCCCAGTGTCCAAATATGGTGTCTGCTATGACAAACGAGGGTAGGTCAACTACTTAACTTTTATGTTAGGCCTAATTTTGAATAAGAATTTATAAATTTTGTTTTTGGTCGAGATACAAAAGGGGAAAGCACTATGTGCTGACTGCATGCGGATTATGTCAGTGTGTGTATCATTGGGCTATAGGCCGCAATACCAACGTCAAGCTTAATTACCTCAGTCGTGTCGTTCAACCTTAAATGTTGGTTATTTTTAAAGACCTCCTCCTGCACCCCTTCAATCTCAGGTCAAGTTTCCAAATTTTTTGTGATATGATGGAATACTCATGCGTGGAAACATTGCGACAACAGACCCCTCTACTATGAAAGCCCGCTAATGAATAAGACACTCACCAGTACAGACGTTAATAATACAATATAATTATTGGTGTCCAGAAATACACTGAATCCATTGCATGGTTAGGTGTATGTCATAGTTCATATGGAAAATAAGAAAACGGGAGAAATTTAACCTTGCGTGTTCTGCACTCAAGCTGCCGTGCTTCAGACACAGGGTCTAGAAAATGAATGCCGGAAATCTTCCCGATTGCGATTATAATGGCTGGATCATTCCACTGGGAACAACAGAACGCTGCCTGGAACCGTCTGTGCACATAGTGGGATGTGCCGGAATAGTGGGAACGTTCCGGAAAGCATTCCATTGGGTAGTTCTGGAATCCCACCAAACCTGAAACTGTACCGTTCCATGTTCATAACCGAAGCTTCAAGTTGGGCAGCTTTCTGTTAGGACTCCTCAAGTTGAACTGACGTCTTTGCCATTTCAGATTTCATTTTTTTGTTTTCTTGTTGCATCTCATCTAAGGCCTCTGTTCTGTTCATGAGGTGTACATGTAGCTGAGTAGAATGGAATATTTCAAGTGTCACGGAATGACATTATGCATGCCACTGCGCTCATAACATTGATTCTAAGTTTCACATTAAGTTGCCTCTGCAACTGCGGGCATTTGTTGTCTCTCACAATGTGGATGGGAGGAGGGACGTATATAGGTTGGTAAAGGCAAGACTCTATCCATGGTGAAGTTAGAGTGCTTCAAAAAAGGAATGGTGCACACTCCCACCCAACCAGTTGATGCCCATGTAACATACTGTTGCACACACAGGAACCCATGAACAAAACCACTGTTTCCAGGAGCTTGTGCAGACCTTGATTTCTGTGCCTGATGGTCAGCAACTGGCTGAGATGGTGGCTCCTATGTACAAACCACCACTGTCCAGGTAAACTCTCCCCAGAGTTTGGTGTTTGTCAGTTTCAAATAGTATAACGTGATGAACAGGACATATGATTTGTCAAGAAGTCTACTTGTGGATGCTACTGCATATACAAAGGCACGGTACTCATTGGGGAATTAGAATTATGAGGTATTTTGAATTTTAGCAGAAGTTGAAAACTTGGCAAATACTGTGACCAAATTGTTGAAGAGTTGTTGAAGAATTGTTGAAGCTTCATAAATTTTGAATACTCTTTGATGGTATAGAGATTTTCAATAGCCGGTCAAATTTGAAAAAGGGAATCTTCTTCTTCCAAGGCGTGCTCATGACAAGCAAGACAGGCTGAACATGTTGGATGCTGTCGCCTCAATGTACACTGATGCCTCACAGTCTCTTCTCACTGATATCATCCTCCTGTCTCCCAAACCTGACAAGGAGCTGGTACAGAGACTTCTCATTGCCTCGGTTGGCTTCAAGAAAACTATTTCCCAGGTAGTGCACACACTTCTTTCAAACACATTTTTTTAATTTTAATGCTGCCCAATTATAAAGCGCTGAATGCTCTGTGATGATGAAATTGTGCAAGAACAATTTCAAAGAAGTTTTCAATTAATTTAGTTTTCAAAAAAGTTTCCAATTAATTTTTTTTCCAGCATTACTTGAAGTCTGTAGAGGACATCGTCTTCCAACCAGAAAAGTTCCCAGGTACAGCTTTATGGTCCGTCTGGTCCGCCTTGAGAGCCATCACAAACAGTTATTCCAGTACCATGGCACTGTAATGGAGTGGTGATAACTGGTTATAAATTGGAGATCACTCTTACATTTGTAATCCTATTAACTTTTTTTGTATTTGGTGCTCTGGAGATAATGATTTGCTAAACAATTTTCCATTGCAAAAGTGTCATTTTCATGTGTTTTGGAATAAATGTAAACTGTGTCTTATCCTCTTTGCTGCAGAATGTCTGAGAGACCCTAAAATACAGAGAGTTGCTGTGCTGGTACTTGGTGCCTTAGCTGGTCACCGATGGCAAGCTGGATACAAAGCAGAAGCAGAGTCCATTGTTGTAAAGATTGAGGATAAACTTGGCGTGCACGGTAAACAAAAAATTTGAATGACTGATCTTAATTTCCAGTGACTTTGTTCATTCTATTGTGTCATTATTTTGATTTTAGACATTTTTTGCTTCACACTCATGCCATTGAAAATTGGAAAACAATGCACAAAGCCGTAAAAATCATTTCCTGTCAAAGTCCAAGTTGAAATTCTCACTTAATGTATTGCAAATTGTGGATTTATTTCTAATGCACCTAAAAATTGTCAAATCTTCAGTCAGTATTTCTGTAAGGCAAAGTAGTAGGCATTTATTAAATATAGAGATTTGGATTATGACAGGAAAATCACACTGAGATTTACATCACTGCAGAAATAAGATGTCAAGGGTTTTATTGATAGGAATGATAAGTGCTGTTCTAGAAAAACCATTTTTCAGTTACAAGATTAATAAGATAAATTTCTGATCATTTGTAGAGATTTTCTACTGAAGCAATTAAATTTCTGTAAAATACGCACAATAAATTAGAAAAATAGACATATCTTTTTAAAACCTTAAAAAACTTGTAAAAATCTGAGACCAACATCACAACCCAAATGTGCTTACTGGTAGTCATCCTTTGCAACCTCTTTGAAGATGGGAAAGTTGGTGCCATGAAACATTTCAAGTGAATCATTGTGGGTATTACATTCATTTTAAAGTTTGCCGTACACTGCATTACATGCTACAATTAGATCCGTGGACCTATGAGAAGACTTTGATGTCACTCAGAGAGGATGAACAAGAGGAGTTCCACCATGACACGGTGGCTTTGATTGAAGCTCTTGGCAATGCTGGGCTTCATCGCTCCTTCCCTCACATAGAGAGCTACACCAACTCAAGCTCCACTCATCCACTGCTGAAAAGGGCTGGTCTGCACTCCATGAGAGACTACCATCATGACAAGGTAACGCAGGGATTTTGCTGTCCAAGTAGCACATTTTTATCAATTCAAAATACCATGTCTTAAAAGCAGAGTCAATCATCTAGAGTGGTACATCCAAAATGGCTGTCAATTTTAATGAAAAAGAAAGGTTCCAGAACCAAGAATCATTTGATGTTAATTGCCCTAGATGTGGAGGCAGTCACACTTTTTAATTTGATGCTCAAAGAAGAAGTACATGTATATGTCACAGTTCAAGTATTGACTTGTGCTGTAACCCTCAAAGGCATTTTTGTTCATGTATACATACACACCAAAATTTGAGGATTGAGCAACTGTTGAAGTAAAGTGTTCACCAGGTTAAGTTCAGAATTGACCAAAATTCTGGAAAAGCAGATGTTGCTGTCTTTTCCAAACAAGATGGCTGTACACGTATGTAGGCTGTTAATTATTACGATGGGTTATGTGATGCACAGGCGGCAGGGGTTCTCTTGAAGTCTGCCCTGGATGAAGACGAGGATGAGCGTGTCAGATACGAGGCCTCGCTGCTCTACAAGAATCACCCCAATGGTGGACACCATAATGCCTTCAAGTTTGTCAGCCCTGAAGAGTGAGTAGAAATGTAATTGATGACCGTGACTATGATTCACTGTTAGGAGTGCTGTGGATATGGTCATGGTTTGAGTTTCTCAAGGACTTATGTGCTATTGCTTTGGAGTAAAGAGCAGTTTAGTAGACTACTCAATGCATTTTTTTGAGGTATGCCATAAGCCTTTCAGTTTGGGATAATGTTAACAATTTTGACTGCTGTGATGTGGGAAATGATGTTGGAACACATCATCAGCTGCATGTAGAAAGGTGTATGACCGGTGTGGATTATCTCTCCTCTCCGCTGTTGGTTAAGGATAATTGACTAGTGGAAGATGTGGAATGTTGAAGTTATGCTATTTAAAAAAGTTTTCATTGATAGTGTATGTCAGCATACTTTAATAAAAGTGGCCAAAGATAGGAAAACTAGGCTTTTGTAATAAGGAGGAATTGAAACCTGAAAAATATTCTTGGCTGGTCAGATACATGTATGTTGGAAGATGCAAAAACCTTTCCAACCACCTGAAATTTACTTTGAACCTCTGTAATCTTCATTGCTGGTAAATGCATCATTGACATCCAACATCCATCAAACTAAGCATTTGGGGAATTTTAGGTCGGTGGGTGAGCAGTGATCACATGACCAAAGATGATGGTCTCCACAAGAGGAAAAATAGACTTGGGATAAGCTATTAGATAGCGTCGCTTTTGCACCATGGTAAAACTTTAACACAAACAGTTAACTGTACACCAAACACAGCTGAATCATGTGCTAATGAAAACCAAAGAAGGCCAGCCACGATGAAGGTTTTGGTTACATGCCATGGGAAACAAAGGTCCAATGACTTGTAGAGTGCATCGCTGTACATATGAAGGTGGAATACAAACATTGTTGTGATTCCTGTTTCAGATATTCTACAACCAATTCCTCCCAAGATGTGGCAACCACCACAGTGCCAAGTGCTCCCTCTAGGCGTCGCTTGAGGAGGAGTTTCTTGGATGGACAAGAGTTCAAGTTACAAAGTCCGTCTATCGACTGGAAGAAACTCTTGGGCAGCAAAGCGCTTGGAGCTGAGTTCGGCCTGACCATCAAGAATGAACTTGATATGAAGATTGGTACGTATTTCTAAGTATTTGATAGCTACATGGCTTTCATTTGGGGCTTTCTGATCTAGGTACCCTGGAATGCTGCTTTGATGGACACATTCATTCCCCTTGGATCCCAAGTTTTCTGTGCACTTTTACCAACATTATAAAAAGAAACTTAAATTAGAATGAAAAGTTGATTTCATTTTGCGATTCTTACTTCCAGTGAGGCCTACCCCTGAGATTAAGCTTGAAAGGAGATACATACATTTAACAACATGAAGGAATTACAGTTTTCTTATTTTAGCTTTATTTCGCGTGTGTGTTTGCCCAAATCCTCATACAGAGACATGTGGGGCATGCTGCCTCACATTTGAGTGTATCAGACTTCAGACTTGATGCACATCTGTGACTGAAAATTGCTATACCTAATGACTGCTGTAGAGTACCAAAGTGCATACATCACCTGCGCAGTAACGTGTATGTATGTCAAGGGCGTTTAGCACAAGAACCAGCCTGTGATCCAACGCAAATACTCGCAAGAACCAGCCTGTGATCCAACGCACATACTCCATTTGTTTGCACTGCACTTTCTGGTTCACAGTGACATCACACTTAGGCATATGTACTCTATATGGAACATTTGGTGTGGGTGTTGTCGTGTTCATAATAGCAGTGCTCAGTGGTGCATTTGCAAATTCATTCAAGGACGTGCAAGGATTGAATGTCTTTTAATCTCTGATTTTGACCTGAACCTAGTTAATAAGAGATAATCCTCTTGGAACAGTGGGCAGTTAAGTAACTTGAAGACAAACTGTTTGTTTGAGAAAAGAATCGTAGCATTGTCTTAACATGCAAACTTAAAAATTTCTGTATTTCTGACAGCTCCTTTGAATAGTCACCTGCGCGTGGACCTTTTCGATGAGGCGTATGCCACCGTTTTGGTTGGATTGGCTGGTTTTTCATGGGATATTTTCAAAGCTCGTTTTTGCTTCAGTGGCTACGTTGAATACAACCTCAACATACTGCAGGTGGGCCCGATCGCATTCTGTCTTCTGTGTTTGCTGTATGTTAATTCAGTTGAAAGAGTTACAACACAAATTATGACTATTTATTGTAATCATTTCAGATGGAATTGAATTGAATTGAATTGAATGAATAACAGACTGAAGTAAGCTATTCCAAATGGATTTGCCTTGTGGAGTAAAACATTCCATCTGTCATCAAAATGAGAGCGCTAGTGCAAAGATGTGAGAAATTCATTGTTTGTTTCACACAATGCTTTAGTAAATCCTTTGTGTACAAGTTGCCATTTTACCTTCAGTCTGGTGTGAAATTGCAACACAGATGTTTCACTGTTTCACATGCTGACTAATTTAAACAGACATTCCTGTATTAAAGTCCTGCAATCTGCCACAGTTGTTTGACAACATATCTAGTTTATTTCTTTATGTTAGAAACATGACATTACAAGTTCAGTAATGCCGTCATCTACTCCAAGAAGGGATGGTGTTTCACATTTATTGATGGGTAATTCCAGAAATTAGGCATCCAAAAGTGTAACATTTTTGTGTTCCCGTTACATCTGACCTTTGTTATTTGACAAGAAAATATTGTAACCGGAATTGATTTCAAACTGTTACTATTTGTTTTTCAGGTAACTTGCATTAATTCATCACTCTTGGAAATTAGAAAATATGTTCTGAACTTACAAAATCATACGTCAGATGTGACAGGGACACCTCCCCCCCCCAAAAAAAATGGACCCCTAATTTCTGGAATTACCCAGGTGTTTATCAAAATGTATTTTTGTGAAGAGCTTCAGCTGTGTCAATGTTGTGCACTCACATTGGCGCAGTACTTTTTTTATGGCATAATTTGATTATACCTCATAAATCTTGACATGCGATCAGTGACTCACCAATCACATTATGCTGATTTATTCAGATGCTGTATTTGATGAAATAATGTAAAAGGGTTGACAACCATTGCAGATACCAGCACTGCACTTAATTGGGCGTCATATAAAAGGGGTTTTTCACAATGTTTCTGATGGATGGAAGGAGCCAGCAGTGAGTCCCACCCCCTAATTGTGGTTTTCTATTTTTCATGCCCAGAAAAAAGTAGCCGGTGCAAAAGTTCAAGTAGCTGGTCAAATTTGCTGTTTGCCCGCTTGTTTTGACTGATTACCTTTCGCAACTTAGTCACTTTTTGTAGAGCCAAAAAGGTCTTGCAGATGGTGCAGTGTTGACAATGACTGTAAGGACAAAACAAAAATATAATAATTTTGTTACATGTAGTTTTCATTTTGATCTCTTCAGAACCACTTTAGCAGGAAATGCTAGATGATATCTCAATAAAACTCAGTGCAATGTAGACTTGACAAGTTGTAAGATAATGGTGTGTTGTCTCATAACTTCACTTGAAATCCATATGCGCATCTCTAGTATAAAAGGATGCATTGGCTGAGATTTGATCATCCACAAGTTGGGTATTAGGCAATCAACATCCTCATAGAAATACGTGTGTACGATTTGGATCGCTGCAGCCTAACGCGTAGAGAGAAAACTAAGCCAATTACCCACTTGGCACCGAGTCTACATTAGTGGAAGAATGATCGTATTGCCTGACAATAAAATGTTTCTCCTTTATCAGGAATTTGGTGTGGAACGTATCAGCGACTTTGCAAAAGCATATGATCTCATATTTGGAAAGGTTTTTGGCAACATCAAGAAAGGAGTAGACATAGTTGTTGATCTCTTCAATGGTGAAATCAGCATCAGTCAACTACTTGACAACTTTGCTCGGTCATTTGACAAAATCCCCAGTTCCATTTCTGTAAGTATGTGTAATGGACATTTATGAGAGCAATTTCTTCTTGAATTATTGGAGCTGAATAAGTTGTAAAGATGTAGCTCAGTGATGGGCAACTTTTTTTATGAAATGTCTTTGGAATGCATGGCCTGTATTATGTACATTAGAAATTCAGCTTAGTGACACTAGAGATGGGTGCTTGGATTGTACTATATAATGACTATTTGCTATTCTAAGAAGAGAAGATGCATGTCAAGAGATGCAACTCCAACATATGCCATCAGAAGAGCTCTGAAAATTATCTTGTTGCTGCCTCAAGATCACTAACCAGACTACTGTCTGCTGCATTGTCACAGAAAGCGACAGGTGCTATGGCATGTGCATACAGTTTCAACATTTAAGGCTGCCTGTGTGTACACGATAAAATGCAACTCTTTAACAGAAAAGTAGACTGAATCACTCCATTTCCATTGTTGCTGGTACACTCCATGCTGCCAGTTAAAATTTGAAATGAGATAAAGGATTTAACAAAAAGATTAACATGTATTCTATAAGTTTTAAAAGATTGTTGAAAATATGCTTTACTCAAAATGTGATCTACAGGTAAAAATTCATCGTTTTTCCAAGACTGCCTTTTTCTAAGTTTCATGTATTGCCCACTTCAGAATTAATTCATGTTTTTCTTTTAAAAATAGCACAGAGCACAGAAGCAGATATTTTTATCCAGACTCAGGGACTCTTTTATTACTGACTGGGTTGAACACCTCTGTGTTGGTTATTAAGCAGTGGCTTGGAATTGTTTAAAATCAATGAGGCCCCTGAATCCAGACAAAAATAGCAGGTTTTGTATGTAATTGGGTTTTACTGGCAGTGTTTTTCACCAGTCCTTTGATCGGTCCTTAGATCGTTTGTGAGAAATGTCAGTAGCTTGCGGAAGTAGGGCCTTCCAGAAGTACATGTATACTGAATTGGACTCATTCTATATGCTCTTTTCACAGGATTTGAGATCAGTGGCTACTAGGGCCGTGTCCCGACTGGCTCAGTTTGACCCAGCCAAGCTCCCACCTTCCTTCAGAGGCGTCATCAATGTTGTCAACAAGGCTGCTCAGCTGTTTAGTGACATCAAGACAGATATTATGGAATTTTACCAGGTTAGATTATGAGTGTTTTCTTCTATTAATTAATTATCATCTTTTAAGTGCACAAATGTTGTAACTGCATATTTTGTGAAATTCCGTTTGTTTCCTGAATTTTGATTCAGATTTACTCAGGGATTATTACAGGTAAATTTCATTGAAAATATTGCATAATTATGACACAGTTAATTAAAATTAAAATGTCTTATCTTTTGTTAAGCACCTTCGCATTTGTGCTGAAATGTATCTCAGTGCATTCGAGGCAAATGCCAAACACTCGGGTTGGTGCAAAAAAGTTTCATCTCAGAATTTGGCGCAAAAACGTATCTTGATCTGGTTCTTTTCAAAGATCATCTTTATATGATCAAGATACCAAAGCTTACAACAAAGAATTGTGTCTGTAAATTCTTTATCTGCCTAAATTTCAAGTTTCATGTGAATTTAATTCAGCACAAAAAGTTACTAGGAGGCCGCAAACCTGTTTATGCATTTTTCTCAAAACTACTCAAAACCGAGATGTGGCACTAATTGATTTTAGCTCCCCGAGGTATCAGAAGTCGGAGGGGAGTTCAAATTAACTATCTACCCCAATGTTACATGTAAGTTTGTTTTACCATACCTCAGACATATCCAGTCGCTATTAATATTTCAGGAGAGTGAAAGACAGCATGTCAGCACTTTGCTGCTATCCGTTTATGTGTAGTGTGCACAGAACATAGCTACAATCCTGGACAAAATTGTTGGGACACGTGTCAATAGCCACACCCTATCCAGGCCCCCCACTCCCCCGGTCAGTGTTGTCATCTCAAGCTAGAGCGCAGGTCACACATTGAGACCCAACGTTGAGAGGGGGCCAGGGGATTGGAGGGGGGCAACAAGATTTGGCCAGGATTGTAGGGCTATGACGCATGAGTACTTTACCTGTGGGACAGCTCTGTGAACTGTTACCAGGGAACAGTTAAGTACTAGTACACACTTCTGTTTGTTAAACAGCAAAACTAGCAATTGTTACATAATGATGAATGGACCAATGAGAGTTCAGCTTTTGATCCTGAATATATTTGAGGCACCATTGTGGTAATCATTCTTACTGACTTTAACATGCTGTAACAGAACTTATTCTTAACAGAACTTTAGAACTACAATACAAAATAGTTTTTCGAAAATATTCACAACTGTAAGCTGAATGCCTTTCCAAGCAGCTGAGTTGCACAACAAAGCAGTGACTGCTTTACGTAAATGACAAAAAAAAGAATTTGTATTGTTTAGTTTGTACAGTTGGACTGTACTGGTGTTCCAAAATAGAAAATTTTTGTTTAGTCAAATGAGTTTGTCTTCATTCTATATTTCAAGTCATCACAGCTCACAAATTCTGAAGTTTTGTGTTTCCTCAGGCTTTCAGTGAGGCAATCACTGTTACTTTGCCCTGGGCAGCAGAACGGATCTGGAAGTCTATTGTTTCACTTAGAGAGTCTGTGATGGACTTATTTAAGTCACCACTGAAGGCCATAAGTGACATGTTCAAAGGAATCCTCAAGTAAGTTTTTGTGTAAAAATTGGCCCCAGAATATTATTGCTTGGAAGAAGTACTGTGGAGATGTAGATAATTTGCTCAGAATCGTGTAATTTTTCAACCTTCATAACAGAATTAGTACAAGTTGTGGACATATCATGCCCGTCGACAGTATCATCACATTTCATGTGTAAGTGCAATAGTTACAAATTGTCTGACTCTTGACTCTTACTTATATTGTTCTCAGTTGTCAGTGGTCAAATTCTTGATGTCAGTTTGTCTATTGAGGTACACACTTGGCGGCGTTTGTAATTAAAAACAATTCATGGTATTGGTAGTCATCAACATCAGGTTATTTTCATGTACATTCACGACTATAATGACAATTGATAATGTCACATTTCTAATTTCGGGGTCCATCTCACCAACTTTCAGCGGAGGTTAATGAAGCTACTTTTTGATCCTAGAAAGCCTAGCATAGCGGATAGATGATAGTGTTTTATTGACTGGGACATTGGGCGTACAGCATTCTTAAATCAGTGTAAGGGGCTTTGTGTGTGTTTGTGGGTAATAAATGATTGTGTGCCACTGCCATACCACAATCTTGAATACTTTTTTTGCATTGGCCCAGAGCAACCATGTGAAAGCAAGTCTGGTCGGAGCCAATTAAGCTTATCTCTGGTTCCCTTGGCATGAAACGACTGAGAATATTTCTATTCCCCTGGATGGAATGCCAGTCCATCGCAGGTTGCTTCCCCAGCTAATGCTGGTACCCATTTATGCTCCTGGGTGGAGAGAGGCAAGCAGGAGTGAAGTCGCTTGCCAAGGCCCATAACATGCTGCCAGCAGCTGGATTTGAACCTCCAACCCTGTGATTGGAAGCCACAGACCCTAACCACTTGGCCACATGCCCCCTGAGTAACCATGTGACCTGTTAACAAGAACATGATATGACTTGGACACATCCACACATGGAGCTCCACATTGCACAATGCAGGGACCGCTGTCCACTTATGTTCAAAGATCCCTTTGTTCCCTGAATTAACCTCAGAAATACCACTGAAAACATCATCTGGAGAGAGATGTGACAATTGACTTTGCAATGGATGCCATGCATTCCTTGGATGATGAAAACAGCAGTCAACAATTGTTAATTAATAATTCATTTTCATTTTGCTAATTACTTATACGTTGCTATTTAATTGTTCATCTACAAACTACAAGCTGAGACATACTGCCGACTAGACAGGCAAAATGTCCAAAGGCACACAGGTTCCGCAGTCTAGATTCTGAGGGAAATATTCAAAGCTATTTACTTCGTTAATTTGAAAGATTTACATCTAGTTTGGTTGTTGGGGTTTTGCCACCCGACCCTGTTTATAGAGAGAGGTTTGCTTGGACTTTCAGAAGTAGTCTTGAAAAAACTTTGATCACATGTGTTCTGTTGGTCAGGGTTTCACAGACATCCTTCTTGAAGAAGATGTTACCATCGGTATTACCGACGCTAATGATATTCATGTAGGAGAGTGTGATTGAAGCTCCCTGATTCTCCAAGCACACTGCCACACACAGTTACTGTTGAATAAAGATGAACACCCTTCAGTTGTATGTGTAAATGTGGTTGTAGGTGCTTTCTCAAGTTTGGCACATTCTTCCGTTTTTATCAAATAGCATTAAACTGGCAGTTGATGAAATCAGAAATGCCAAGAAACAAATACAAGAAGCCCTCTTCTTCAAGGGAGGTAAGGCACACTTACTCTTGGCTTTAATTAGAGTATTTTTCATTGCATCCTCATGCGCAGTACTTTCATGGAGTTCATATATTAAAAAAATAATCACTCACCAAGGCTTCCGAGTTACGAATTATCTGCTTTGCAGATCAGACACCCTACTGGTTTAAGCTGCCCCAGATCATCCTAGATATGCTTCAAGAGTTGGGGGAACACCTCAGCAACATCAGGCGAGATCTTGTCACCTGGGTGGATGAGGTTGACAGCTCATCAGATCCCATCAAGATGTTGACTGGTGGCACTACAGACTCGGTAAGGTTCCAGTGGTGCTTATATAAAGGTGGAGAGGATGCTGTGTACTTGAGGGTTAGGTAAGATCAGATACACCTGAAGCCAAGAGAACTGAATGCCTACTAAAATAAAATACAGAATTGCACAAGTCTTCTGTTCCCTACTTGCAGACATTTGTCTAATTATTGAACTGCTGCTCTAACAAACCGTCAAAAATGTCAATGTGGCCACACTGGACACAAGCCCTTTGTATCACAGTTTGCCTTGTGCTAAATACATGTATGTTATTGATTTCCACACCAAATTGATGTACATGTAGCTTCATTGGTTCTTCTGGCATATTTATGGATTGCCTGATAATTTGCACAATATGTACTGCTTGCCATTGTCACCAATTGCAAGTATGGACAGTATTTTCAACCAGTACTCATGAAGCAACAGTGGTGACATTAAAGACACGCACTCCTTTTGTCTTGTAGGCGAAGAGGTTTTGTAGCTGTATTTGTACCCAAAGGAACAAGCAAGTTGGTAGATCCCCATGCCTACTTGCGATGTACTGTTGTATGCTTGCTGGAAGAATTTGTTACCCATAAATTTGCACAGGTCACTTTTATGGCAGTAATTTCAACACCAGCAGTCACTCTTGATTTCAGTCACCTTTCCACTTTATACTGTACTTCTCACCTTGTGCACAGTTTACAGTGAGAAGACAAGTCCAAGCTGAGATTGAGTCTATCTTCCAAGACCTGATGGGTCCAATGCAGCCTGTTGCAGACCTCTTGAGTCCCTTCTTTGATCTGTGTGACCATGTATTTCGTGCTGTTGGAGCTATAAAGGAAGCTTATGAGACTCTCAGGGATGGGTAAGTAAATGTATGTGGACCAGCTAAATCTTCTTGCAGTGAAATGTAAGATATGCATATATGTCTTGTTAGTGTCTTCAGATGCAGACAAAAGGTGCTGAGATCCAATAGACATAAAAATCAATTGATAGGTAAAGCTTGCACTTAAAATGATATATTTTAAATGATGTCATGATGGCATCATCACACAATTTACCTTTTAATTTTGATTGTTTTAGTTTCTCGTTTGGGTCAATTTAACCTTGAATTTATAGTTTGTATCTTTGCAGAAGGATGCAGAGAAGCCCTTGGGTCTTCTCTTTTCATTCTTTGAACGGTTTTAAATCACAATTCATTCAAAAAGGGTTTTGAATTTAAACATTCTCTCACACCAAATATGATTGGGAGCTTTGATATGCTTACACCCACCTACTTGCTGTGGGACTTAGCTGCTTGATTAAAATAAATGCATTTAAAACTTGTGACCCAAGTCCAGAAATAGATTGGGGAAAGCAGATGGTATGTTACGTCAACGTTTTGGGCTTGAAAAGTAAATATTATTACTTTTAGATATTGTTTTTAATTAGTTGTTTTTAACATAATTATTCTCTTACCCTAACCTTCCCTGAGCTTTGAAACCCACCCACTTTCCCTTTAGAATGTAGCTTCTTTTGATTAAAAGAAGTAGAAATACATGTACGCTGTGTGTATGTGGTTGAGGGGTCACCTTGGTTGCTGGCTGGTACTTTGTCAACTGTTTAAAGGTTGGTTCATAGTTGGTGCATAAGTGAACATGAACACAAATTTGTTATGCCATGTCAAATATGCACACTGCGAATACACAAAAAATGAACACATTTCAACTTGAGCGAAATTTTGCTGCAAATCTTTCGTGACCTCGCTTATAATTTTCACCTTCACCTGAAGTTTGAACTGGCCTTAAGACCGGTCATTCGACACCATCTCAACCAATAGGAATGACTAAATTGTATGAGGGTTATTTTTGAAACACAAATTAAAGTCATGGGTTTGGGCATAGCTTGGTGAGGTATTTGTGTTTGTAAACAGCTAATTCTTGTTTTTTTGCAGATATCAAAAGTCTCAGGCTCTTGTCATGAGACTGTTGGGGCCTAAGGCTCATGAAAGATTTCCCAGGAAGTACAGAGAGCCCGGATCAGAGCTGTGTGCGTCAGGAGGATTCTACCCAACGAACTCTGCTGGACAATATGAACATCAAGGTGTTGATCTGGAAATACCCGCAGGGGCAAAGGTGAATTTTTTATTTTGTGCATTGAATTTAATTAAAAAGATCAAGATTTCTTATTAAATTAGAGTTCCTGCAGTCATGGAAAGCCCAAAAAAATCTCGTAAAAAAGTTGTTTTGAAAAGTCATGGAAAATGGGGAAATTAAGGTGTCCTGGAATCCTGTTGTCCAAAAACAAAGTCAGAGAAATATTTTGAAAATCAAGATCGTGCAGGAGGTTATTTTGTTATTTCTAGACCGCTTTGGATGTGATAATGGAGAATGATGAATTTACAAACCATCCTTTTCAGTACAGGGTGTCCCAGAAAAAAACTAAACCCTGAGGAAAGGGGTTAATCTGCCCAAACCATGAGATATGATTGTAATGTATAAGGATCTTTTCGGAGATGCTTCATCCTTCCAAATTATAATCATATCTCATGGTTTGGGCATATTAACCCCTTTCCTCAGGGTTTGGTTTTTTTCAGGGACACCCTGTAGAAGTAGCTGTGGCAGTCTTCAGTTCATATTAAATACCAAACAACTTTTCCTTACAAAATGGCATTAAATGTCATGGAGATAGTCATATTTTAGTTCCTGAAAGTCCTGGAAAAGTCTTGGACTTTGGTTTCCAGATGTCTGTGGGAACCCTTGTTAAGGTATGGCAAAAAATTAAATAAATAAAATACCTTAAAATTTCGCACAGTGTTTAAAGAATACATGTATACAAAGTGATATTTAGCTTCAAATAAAAAACAGCTATTTCCTGTGTGCAAAACTTGTAACAATTGTTAGCTCAATTCTTTTCTCTAGATCCCGTTTCTGAGTACGAGCAATCTGCTGATGACTATTAAATGTACAAATGGTTGTCAATAATTTGTCGCTTTGTAGTTGGTGGCCCCATTTTCAGGAGTCCTTTTCAAGAGTGAGGGCAAACCCAACCAGGTGACTCTCCTCGCTGGGGGTGGCGCCTTCCGTAACATCAGGATCACCATTGACAACATTGAACCCAACAGAACTCTGTCTGAAACCGAGGGAGTGAATGTAAGCTGTGGTAGTACTGTCAATAGTTGAAGTGGTCTTGTTTATTGTAATTGGACGTGTGGCTGTAAGTGGCAATGTTTGTTATTGGTTGTGATTGTCTAATTTGGACTCATCCTTGTCATCCTTGCTCTAGAGTAAATGCATTTAAAATATGCCCAAACTTAAGATTTTCTTTACCTTGTGGTTATCAACGGAAAATCAGTTTTCCTGCATTGTGTTTTGTGTTGAGTTACTTCCACTGAGTACTGTAGATTTTTTCACCTGACTAGAGGTAATGCAGTAGAGGAGTTTTATCTCTAAATGTATTGATAGAGGACACTGTTTTAGAGACAATTATAATCAAGCACACCATATGAAAAGTCCTTGTTATCTTGTGCTATGTGGTTTGGATTTTCCATTAACCACTCCCTGCCAAGCGACCAGTTTTCGAGTACATAGGCTTTATATGAAGAGCTGGGGAGCCGGGAACTGGGACAAAAGAGTTGGGCCTTATAACAAAAGACCGTGCTCGGCACAAAAGACTGGGCTGCTGGGCATTACCAACATTTTTTCACTCTCAATAGTGGAGATAATCCAGCCTTGTTTTGAAACAGTGTACCACAGTTTGAGGCATTTAGAGTGACTGGATTACCACCAGGGACAAAAACTCTCCATCATCATAGCGATGAGCCACACAGCACCGCTGCACGCTAATCTGGCCCCTTTTTTCAAGATGTATTTTTGCGTCGGGAAGATGTTAATTATATATAATGGTTTGCCCATTATAAATAGTTCGCGGTACCCGCTGCTTCATTTGACGCGGACTGGCCNTTAATATACGTTGGGTACTGGCAAACCGTTATATATAATCTGGCCCCTATTGAAAAGAGGTCAGCAGTGCGCTGTGCCGGTTTCGGGAACAAAAGAATCTTATGTAACGCATAATCTTGGTGCTTTTTCCAAGGCTGTAGGCCTGTCTGAAATATTCAGGAGTCAATGAAGGTTACCTGTCAGCTTTATAGTAATACCCAAAGAGTCCTTCATTTTGATATAAACAGCCATTAAGTGAAATGATGAATTTTTGAAGAATTTTGAAAACAAAAATTCTTGAAAATGAGCTGCCATCTTGTCTTGCTCAAGAAAAATCCACCCGGCAGCAAGTGGTTAACCCTCTCCCGGTATCTTTTACTAACTCTCATAAAAGTTTCAAAGTGAACTGTGAGCACACATCCATCAGAAGTCTTGAAATACTGGAACTGCTTCGTAAAAAAAAACAGAGTTGATTCAAGAGGATGTGAAAATTTCTCACAAGGAAATCTTCACTCTGATTTGGAATTACAGTCCTAGTGTGATGTATCCCCAAATTTATAATCAAGGTTTGGCCTAGTATTGAAAATGACTTGTTTTTGGTTTTTACTTTTGAAAAGGTGATAGCTGGCACTGTCATAGGTACTGTGGGCCGGTCAACAACCTGCAGACCATCCAACTACATCCACCTGTCCATGAAGAAACTCAAGCCAAATCGTCTGGCGTCATTTCTGGACAGTGCCCTAGATGATGATCCGTCAGCTGCCCAGCTGGCGGCAAGGGAGGGATACGTGGACCCCAGCAACTACGTGGCTAAGAGACCACTGGCAATGCCCAAGTGGATTCAACTATGTGATGATTACAAACTGGTGTGGCGGGTAAGTCCTTTATGCAAGTACTGTAACTGGATGTAACATGCTTGATGTAACATGCTAGGAGCCAGATTACAATACTATGAGAAAGACTTCATGCTCATTCAGTATCATGGGGATTCCCATTTCATAGGGAGAGACAGTATTGGAAGGTTCTTTACTGGGACATAACAAGAACAGGACAGAGGATACAAGTCCGGAGCGCCAACCTCCCCCCGACATGACCACCAATAGACCTGACCCCAGCAAGATTGCACCTAGATGGCCATCCTCTCTTGATCAAGCATTGTCAGAAGGTAAAATAAAGCAATGTGTTTTATTACATGTTTTTCACCTGTAACAAAGATAGAGGAATACCGAGGTGCTATCACCCGTCAATTTGCATGCATTATCCCAGATGTTCAGATTTCTGTTAAATGTCCTGCTATTCCAACTGCTGCAGCCAATAAACAAGAGACTGAGGACGCTCTTGGCCTCCCTCCACCGAAAACGGGCTCAGGTTCTCCATTCCAGAACTTCACGTTGAGGAACTTGAAGATCGGATCCATTCTGGCATTTGCCCGTCGACTTGGACAGGAAAAAACTGCAGATGAATTGCTTGCTGTTGTCCAGACAATTGTTGTAAGTTTTGTCTTCTAAATATTGTTGATTACACTCTTTCAGAGTAAAGACAAATGAAACGTTAACCACCTCTGTAGTCAAAATATATAATGAAAGTGTTAATGTAGATTTTACAGTGCACTATTAAAGCTGTGCAAGACAAACCCATAGTAACAAGTGTCCTCCGTGCATAGCCTACCAATTATCTTTACCAGTGTAGAGAAAAGGCACACATCATTCCCGGCTCCCATTCTAAGTAAGCCGGCTTTGGACATGCCGACATTATTGAGTCAATGTCCCCAGGGTCATGACCTCAGTGGATGCATTGACCATTCACTTATTTTTTGAAATGATATCATGTCATATGTGACCCACTCTGCAAAAAAGGGTATTAAGTCGCACAATGCCAAAACAAGTGATGGCCTGTTCTATTTAGAGGTGATTTCATGTTTTTCTATTAATAGCTTCTATAATATTTATTTTTTCAGAATTTGTGACTACAAACATGGATACTGATGAATAAAGATGAAAAATTTATCATTCATGAGTAGGAAATCATATATAGCATTGTGTTTCCAAGGGCTACTTTTTATGAGCTTTTTCTCAAAAGTGTTTGTATTGAAACCAAAAATGTGGATATACAAAATATCTCCAGAATGCAGTGCACTATAGGGGTCATTCATATATCAAATTTTAGCTTTTGATATACAGAATCCAGCCAAATCAAAAACTCATAGCCTAAATCTGGTGACTTATTCCCACTTTTCCAGAGCCGGTCACATATAACCTGACACCCTCTCCAAAGAAGAGATATCCCTGTACCCCAATAGAGAGGTACAAAAACATTATCATTTTCTTCAATTGTTGTAAGCTCATTCTAACCTGCTGTTAACCTATAAACGTTCAATTTTGAATAAAATCATTCTTCTCTGAACCAAAGCCATTGCCTTCAAGCTATAATAGCAGTTTTGTGTGTGTATGTGGGGGTGTGTGTGAGTTTGTTTCTGCATTCAATTGGGGACCC